GGGCTCGCCGCCACGTCCGCGACGACAAGGGATTGGGCTTGCGTCCTTGTGCTGAACGGCGCCACGACGGCAACGATCAATGCGAGCGATCTAAGCAACTCAGTTCTCCTGCGCCCGTGTGATCCGGAGGGCGATCCACGGTTTGCCGGGTAGATCGACCAACTTGCCCGCCTCGTCCTTGAACAGATACTGTGAGTGCTGCTTGGTAACGAACTCGCCTTCGACCGGCGAGACGGTCATGTTCCAAGTATCAAGCACCTCGACTTTGAACCGCATGCCATCTGCTAAGTCGTGCTTCGGGAGACAGAACTCCCACGAATCGGGCGTCTGTTCGCCCAGGTAAACCAAGTAGTATTCTCCCGGCTGTCCGGCGATGTTCGGGTGCTGCCACTTGTCGATCTGATCAATCCCCTCGGCGGGTGAGCCATCGAGCACCTTCTTTAAGAAGGCGATCCGCTGCGGGCTCTCGCCCTTGAGCACGCCTCCCTTTGCCCACCAGAGCACATCGTCGTCCGCTAAATAGCACTCGCCGTGAGTGACGTAGCAGCCGGCGATCGTCCCTTCCCAGAAGCGATGCACCATCTCCTCCGCAGAGAGGTTGCCCCATCGCAGCGGGATGTCGCCCTCGTACTTGACCTCATCGAGCAGAATTGGCTTAGGGTAAACGTCGCGGTACAGCGCCGCGCGGCCCGCTTCCTCGGCGGCCGAGCCATTCTGGATGCTGGCGTGCGTCAAGTAGGGATGGTTGTGGTCGTAGAGCTCCCAGCCGTTGTGAATTCCGAGCAGCTTGCCGTAGGGGTCGGCGTCATGCACAACGCCGATCATCCGCGTCCAGTCGTCGCGAGTCTTGTTCTTGTCGAAGTCCCACTCGTTCGCCATTGACCACCACACATTGCGATAGGCGCCGAGCCTCGCGACGATGTACCGCAGATAGAAATCGCAAGCCTCCGGAGGCATGTTGTCGAAGCCCCAGCGGCCATTATCGTAGGGGTGCAACAAAATCAGATCGACTTCGATTCCCATCTCTCCAAGCTGCGTGATCCGTTTCTCAAGGCTACGGAAGAAGGCGGGATTGAAGCGCGAGAAGTCCCACTGGTTGGGCGCCGTCCCCTCGTAAGCGTACTGTGGCGGATCGACTTCGTTCCACGAGTACCACTTGGGAAAGACGCACATGCGGATCTTGTTGAACGGCGCCGTGGCGAGTGTTTCGAGCGTCTTCTCTTGAAGCTCTTCTGTCTGCGAGGTCCAGGCGTAACAGGTGGTGCCGACCGGCTTATAGGCCGTGCTGTCGGCGTAGGCGAAGTGGGCTACGTGCGCAACCTCGACTGGCCCGTGGTTGCCCTCGGACGGCGCGCCGACCTCGAAAGTCCCTTCCTTGCCTTTCAATTCAGCGGCATTGCTCACCGTCGAGTACGACCACTCGCCGGTCGTAGGCGGGCAGAACCGAATGCGATAGGCGCCGTCCCCGTCGTAGAATCCGGTGACGTCGATGCGACGATCACCCTGCTCGAACGTTGCCGATAGGTTGACGCCGAGAAAAGGGTTACCGGCCGTCGGGCCTTTCAGTTCGACCTCATAAACGCCCCATCGTTCGCAGTCTGCGGCCAGTAAGAATGTAGGGGCGAGCACGAGGCAGCATACCAGAAGTGATCGGGTCGCTTTCACGGCTTTCGTAGTGGCTCGAGTTGGTCGGGAGGACTGGCAAACGCCCAACGAGCATCGCGTGTGAGCGCGAGCGTCGATTGATGGCGGTGTATCGAAGGCTGTTGCTGGCTTATTCGCGAACATTCTCGTTATTATCGGGAGCTCGTTTCGAGGAGGTCGGCGTCAAGGCTTGTCGATTCGTTACTGCCCAGGTGCAGTTGCACTTGTAGGTCGCCATAAGCCAGCGTCGCGGGCTTGCCGAGCAGTGACTTGACGTGGCACTCGGAAAGTACGCCGTCAAGCCATTCGATAGCCACTTCGAAGCCGTCGCGCGTGCGGAGGCCGCTGACTTTGCCCTCGGGCCAAGCACTGGGCAGCGCCGGGAGCAGTTCAATCAGTCGCTCGCCATCAGCGGTAACGCGGTGCGACTGCACGAGCATCTCGCAGACCCCAGAGGTCGCCCCGAAGTTGCCATCGATCTGAAAGGGCGGGTGGGCGTCGAACAGGTTTGCGTAAAGGCCGCCGCCGCGGTGCTTCGACTTGGGCGACCCGGTTAGCGTCATCAAACCATCGAGCACTTTGTAAGCGTGATCGCCGTCACGGAGTCGCGCCCAAAAATTTACTTTCCAGGCGCGCGACCAGCCGGTGCCCTCATCCCCTCGCATTTCGAGCGATCGCTTCGCCGCCGAAAACAGCTCAGGCGTCTCGGGGGAAATCTCAACGCCAGGGTGCAGCCCCCACAGATGTGAGACGTGGCGGTGATCATTTTCCGGATCGTCAACGTCCTCGAGCCACTCTTGGAGCTGGCCATGCTTGCCGATCTGGTTAGGAGCGATACGGGCTCGCAGAGCAAGAAGCTCCTTCCGCAAGTCGTCATCGACTTGCAGGACTTCACTCGCCGCGATGGTATTCGCGAAGAGGTCACGGATGATCTGGTGGTCCATCGCGGGCCCCATGACCAGGCCTCCCTGCTCTGGCGAATTGCTCGGCCCACTGATCAACCACCTGTCCTCACTCCGCGGGTCTTCGACGAGATACGCCACGAAAAACTGGGCCGCACCTTTCATCAACGGATAGGCCGTTTCACTTAGAAACGCCTCGTCACCCGTGTAGAGGTAGTGCAGCCAGAGGTGTTGACAGAGCCACGCGCCGCCGGTGGGCCAGATGCCGTGGTTGCTGGCGTTGATCGGCGCGGCGCCGCGCCAGCGGTCGAAGTTGTGGTGAAGCACCCACCCCGGGGCCGCGTAATGTTCGCGGGCGACTTCGGCGCCGGACTCAGCCAACTCGGAAAGCGCGGCGAACAGCGGCCCGTTACACTCGCCGAGATTGCACGGCTGGGTGAGCCAGTAGTTCATCTCGGTGTTGATGTTGACCGTGTACTTGCTCCCCCACGCCGGAGAGAGGTCTTGATTCCACAAGCCCTGCAAGTTTGCCGGCTGCCCTCCAGGACGACTCGATGCGATCATCAAGTAGCGGCCATAGTGAAACACCAGCGCCGCGAGATCCGGATCAGCCGTCGTCTTCGAAGCAATGAGCCGTTCGTCGGTCGCCTGCTTGAGCGCGGCTTCAGAGGTCCTGCCGATTTGGAGGTCGACACGATCAAACAGTTCGCGGTGGTCGGCGACATGCCGGCGATACAAGTCGTCTGACGAGCGCTCGGAAGCCGCGGTGAGATCGGTGGCGGCGAGCGCCGACGGATCAGCCGTGAGATCGCGGAAGTCAGCAACGTTAGTCGCCGCCGCCAGCAAGAGCGTCGCATGCGTCGCCCCACTGACACGCATTGAATCGTTGGAAACCACAACCTCACCGTCTGTCTCGACAACGCGTAGACGAGCGGCGAACCGTACTCGCCCCTCGGCGCGATCGGCGCCGCCGATGTTGGCGTCGTTCACCAGTGCGCGACGTTCGATCGTCGTCTCGTCAATAACGGCCGCTTCGTTGCGAGTGTGAGGAGTCGGCAGACTCGCGGTGAAGGCGAGGGCGCCGACCTTGTCGGCCTTGAGCGTGACGACGACGACCTGGTCCGGAAAGCTGGCAAAAACCCGTCGCTCGAAACGGACATCGTTTGCCGTGTAGGTAGTCGTAGCGGTTGCAGTCTCTAAGTCGAGATTCCGGTGGTAGCTCTTCACCTGCTCAGGGTCGATCCCTTCGAGCTTCAGTCGAAGGTCCGCCATCGGTTGGTAGAACTGCTGACGCAGTGGCACGGACATGAACTCACGCTCGGCGAGTTGCTCTGCCTCGCGCTGTTTCCCCTCGAACAGCAGCTTGCGGATCTCTCCGAGACATTGAGCGGCGCCGGGGCGGGCGTAGCTATGCGGACCGCCGGTCCAAACAGAACTCTCGTTGACTTGCAGCCGTTCCTCGGCGACTCCGCCAAAGACCATGGCGCCCATCCGCCCATTCCCAACCGGAAGGGCTTCGACCCATTCCTTAGCGGGTTGATCGTAGAGCAATTTCCAACGGCCATCGGCGTAACTAGGCGATGTCCATAGAGCAACGATTAGCAAGAGGAACAGACGCATCATTCTGAAGAGGTGCCCCGGGATAAGTTCACCGCCAAGCGGCCTAGCTGCGGAGAGTGAGCCTCCATTTTACCGTCAATCCACACGGAGAGACCGGCGATTCGGTCATAGCGCGTTCCATCGCGATCCCAGAGGATGCATAGTTGGCGGCCCCGATATGGTACGCCGTCGAGGCAGAACCAATCCCAGGCGTCGGCGGGCAGCATCGGGTCAACAACAACCCTGCTATCGTCCTGCGGTATCACCCCGGCGAGCCCCGTGATAACGAGGTCGCAGAACGTCGAGTGATTGTAGTAGCGACTCCGCTTCTCTTTTTCGCCGGTGATCAGCCAATCTCCAGTGACCTCGTCGTGGTACTCGCCGATATAAGCCACGCCGTCCCTCTGATGCGATGCGGCGTAGCGGATTAGGTGCTCGAAGTAGTCGCGACGCGTGACATTGGTTTGCTCAGGGCCCCGGAGCACGACCGCCATTGCCCCGAGCGTTTGACTCGTAGCAAACGGCCAGACGGCGCCGTCCCACTCGCACGTGCCAACCCCCCGCGTACGGAACGACGGGTGGCGGCGTTCTGCGGTCGTCAGCCCGGCGGGAGCCCAGAAGCCATCGTGATCTTGTGTCTGTCGCCAGGCCTCGCTGTGGGCGGGGCCCGCTAGGCCATGAAGCCAAGGGAGGTATCCGATCGCCTCGCGCGCGTCCGAGAGCTTGCCCGATTCGAGCCGCACCTTAAAGAAATTGGCTTTGGCGTCCCACATTGCCTCGACGGACTTAGCGGCGAGCGTGTTGGCCTTCTCTTCAAACGCGAAGGCAACCTCGCCGCGACCTGCGTCACGAGCAATGTGGGCGATTGCGCGGGCGTTGCCCACCATGTAACTGTTGATCGTTGGCCGCACGTTCTGCACATGACGCCCCCCGCTGATGGACTCTTCCATGCCGTCGGCGACGTCGCGCTGCCAGAAGAGACCGCTGGGAAGTAGACGTTCCTCTTCCCAGCTGTAGTAGTCAGCTACCAACGCGTCGAGCAAATCGATCGCGAACGCGTCATCGCCTGTCACTCGACGCCGCCCGTCGATCGCCGCTGCGATCCAGCCGCTGAACTTGTGCAGATGCGGCTGCGGTCCACCGTTGGGACCCTCGGTGAACCAGAACCGCAGGTACTCGTCGAGCAGAGCCTTGTCCGCCAGCCAACGCCCCTCGGCGATGTGATGGCCGATCGCGCAAGCGATCGTGTTGTGAGCGCCCGCATGGCTGACCGGCGTGATAAACTCCGTCAGGACGCGGCCATCGGGCGTCGCCTTGATGTGCTTGCGATACGTCCACCAGCGGTAGTAGTACGTCTCGACGAAGCGGCCCGAAG